GGGGGGGGGGGCAACCCTCTCCTGCCGAACGCCTGTAAGAACGATGTCCACAGTAAACCTACGAACAAGAGCTAGAGCGCGACGTTAACCGACATTGTCGGCAACAATCTGGGCTACACTGAATGGGATCGTGATTGCTGCTGGCTGCTGTTAACATCGTCAGCAGCAGTACAATAATGGTGGGAAGACATTTGGGTATACAGCCTATCGGGAACAGGGAGAAGAGGTGCCGTCACGGAAATACCAAATTGGCATGATAAAAGTGAGGCACGTGAAAGAGTCATTACCAGAGTTTAATAAAGAAAGACTCCATCACATGACGGACATTGTCTGAAGTGCATATCGCAAACTCCACTTTTGTTCTGTTTTTGTTATTTTTGTTATTTAATTATTAGACAACTCCGGAAAGGGAGCAGGGTGGACGAGGAGAGGACGAGGCAACGGAATGGTACCGAACGGCGGGGCACACCTCTTGGTAAGAGCGAGCTTCAAGGGCAGCAGGAGCAGGAACAAGTCCTGGGAACGATGGACGGACGGGGGGCAGGACTGAGCGGCCGCATGCGCCCAGGAAAACTGCCTGCCTTCTGTTTCAAATAAATCTTTGTTTGTTTCGAGTGCACGCTGACATAAGCTCAAATTTACTCTTGAACCAATCTGATATTATCTATCGAATAAGAGGGAAATCTTTATTCCAAAGACAATATTGCTTTGTTTCAAGGGTGAATTTTGGTCTCGTATATCAACACATTGGTAAAACTTGTAAGTGTTTAATTTTGCACGTCGATTGATGTCATTGATGTGTAAGTTTAAGTGTGCATTTTGTAGACACATTGTAGTGTCTAACTGAGCACCATATCGGTTCTATTGATAGCATAAAACTGTGAGTATGTAAATTATGCACACTCGTTTTACAAGTGCATGCACTTGAAACAAGAAACCAGTTTTATAGTTGTGCGGCTGACTCGGCGCTGGACTTCTGGCTGGCCACCACGCACGCATCCCTCGGATATTTTCATACCGAAATAAAGCGCGCCAAAGGTCGTGCGCGCGCGCCTATCCGGGGCGCCACGAAATTACCATTATCCAGGAGACGATGCGCCACCGGCCGGCCCCGGCCGTCGATAACGACCGCGTCACCGCGTCACGGCGAGCCACGTAGAGCGCTGCTAATTATTTACAATCACGAAATGGAGCAGCTCGGCGGTCTCTCTAGCCGCTGATGCGTGCGCCGGGAGCGGCGTCAGGCTCGCGGCAGTGCGCGCCCGCGGCAGGGCAGGGCCGGTCGCTGACTCTGTCCAGCCAGATGACCTCCCGCGGGTCGCACCGCTCCGCGGCGGCCGAGGCGGTCTAGGCCGGCTCGGCAGATGACATCGGGGCCCGGCCCCGCCTGCCCCGCCTATACTAGGCGCTTTGGGCCTTCCCGTCCCGCACGCCAAGGCTCCGGGCTGGGTAGGCAACCCATCCAGCGCCGAGCTGCGCGCGTACACGCGGTACTCGGCCGCAAACTTGCCTTTGGCGCTTATTACACTCATTTGGGGAGAACTAATGCTTCAGTGTAATAATTGTGAGGAAAGACATGAGGAGATACGATCGACAAGATTTATTACTATAAAATATTGCTGTTGTGTTTACCCCCGCATTACAAACAAAACAATAGTCTCAGGAAGGAATGTCAGTTCTAAAATAATACTAAAAGAAAATTTATCCTAGTTACTAAATTGGTCCAAGAAGCTCAGCTGACAGAGCAAAGATACGAAAGTTTAAAAACGTGTAAAAATATCTAGTAATATCAATATAAATTCTCTGTAGTCTTACAAGTACTTAACATTCAAGTAATGGAAGACTCTGTAAATGCACCAATTTCATTGGCAAAAAGACACAAAATTGTCATGATAAAACTCATAACTTACAGAATATCAACGTTGCACGCCTCTGGCAAGACGATAAATTATAACAATTATGGAATGGAGCTTAACTGCTTAACTGACACTCTTTTAGAAACGCCAGCAAACATGTGGCAGTGGTCCCTCTTCTGTAACCCTCCGTGCACATTTTTGAACACGATGCAGAATTTGTTCGTAGTTGTCTTCTAGTTTCCCGCAGTCTTGCGGACGGCTTGGTTGTCCCCGGATGGAGAGGCGACTGGCGAGGTCGCCGCTGAGCTCACCCCGCTCGAGGCGGCCGAGTCGCCCTGGCCACCAGCACCGCGGCCTTCCAGGACGCCGACGGCGCCGGCTGCTGGCGCTGGCGCCGACGCCGTCGCTGGGCCGTCGTCGGGCGAGTACCAGTCCAGGAACCGTCCGACGGCGCGCTCCCACAGGGCAAGAGACGCGTCGCGGGTCGCGGCCGGCGAGAACACGCGCTCCACGCGGGCGTCGCGGAGCGCCGCCACCTCCTCCTGGCCGCGCCACACGCCCGCCGCCACGCCCGCCAGGTAGGCCGCGCCCATGGCGGACATCTCCGAGGTGGTGCACCGCTCCACGGCCATCCCGGACAGGTCCGCCAGCAGCTGGCAGACGAAGTCGTTGCGCGACACGCCCCCGTCGACCCTGCAGGATCACAGATCACAAGGGGTTTCCGTCAACTTCGCTCTCAAAATTTGGAATGGACGGCAGCGTCAATTTTAACTCAAATTAGTAGGTTCATGTTTCTTAAGTTTAGTTACGTGGGTACGCTGATGGGTAGCTATTTTCATGGTCTACATCATCTTGCAAAATAAAATAATGATGTCCTGTTCAATATAACATGCTTACCTGACAAAACTCCACACGGGAGCTTCCTACAGTCCACAGCTTTCAGCAGAAACAAAAAGGGGCAAGAAAAAAAAAAGTTCACCGGATGACCCCGACGTGATTTGAACACGCAACCTTCTGATCTGGAGTCAGACGCGCTACCGTTGCGCCACGGAGTCGTGATGAGAGAGGGCGACGCGGCTCGTCATCACAAGAGGCTTGGCCCGCGCTCGACATGCGCCGTGGATCGACCGCGCGGGGGGTGGGGGAGGG